AAAACTACAGGCCAATATCCCTGATGAACATGGATGCAAAGATCCTCAACATAATATTAACAAATAGACTCCAACAACTCTTCAAAAAGATCATCCAGCACAATCAAGTGGGGATGCAAGGATGGTTTAGTATTAGGAAATCAATCAACATAATCCATCATATCAATAAAAGAAAACATAAAAACCATATGATCATATCAATGAATGCAGAGAAAGCATTTGACAAGATCCAGCACCTGTTTATGATGAAAACTCTCACTAAAATGTGTATTCAAGTAACTTTCCTCAATATATTTAAAGCCATCTACCACAAGCCTATGGCATTCATTATCCCCAATGGAGAGAAACTTAGAGCCTTCCCTCTAAGATCAGGGACAAGAAAAGGATGCCCACTCTCACCACTTCTAAATTCAGTATAGTTCTGGAAATACTTGCAATAGCAGTTAGGCAAGAAAAAGATACCAAGGGCATCCAGATATGGAAGGAAGAAATCAAGCTCTCACTATTTGCAGATAATATGATACAACATATAGAAAAACCTAAAACCTCTACCAAGAAGCTCCTAGAAACAATAGACTTGTATAGTAAAGTCACAGTCTATAAAATCAATACCGAAAAGTTAATCGTTTCCTATATTCAAATAATGAGAGAGAAGAAAGCAATGTGGAAAAAGCTATCCCATTCACAATCATGACTCAGAAAACAAGTATCTCGAAATCAGCTTAATTAAGAGGTAAAGGACCTGTACAAAGAAAACTACAAAATGCTACTTCACGAAATAAAAGAGGACATGAGGAAAAGGATACATATCCCCTGCTTATGGATTGGGAGAATTAACACTGTCAAAATGTCAATTCTCCCCAAAGATTATACAGATTCAATGCGATCCCTATAAGGATATCCATGAAATTCTTCAAATAAACGAATCAAACACTCTTGAAATTCATATGTAACAGCAAACCCACAGGAATAGCTAAAGCAATTCTTGGGAAAAAGAAGATGGGAGGCATCACCTTCACCAACCTCAAACTCTACTACAAAACAGTAATAATTAAAACAGCATGGTATTGGAACAAAGGGAGACAAATGAACAGGATTGAATATCCTTACACACACCCCTCAAATATATGATCATTTAATCTTTGATACAAGAGCAAGAAATGTGAAGTGGAGCTAGGAAAGCCTCTTTAACAAATGGTGCTGGCAAAATTGGAAAGAAACTTGCAAAAAATGGGCTCAGACTCCTTACCTAATATCATGCACAAAAGTCAGAACAAAATGGATTAAAGACCTCAACATCAGACCAGAATCCATAAGTACATTGAAGACAAGGTTGGCAAAACCCTCGACATTGAAGCTAAAGGTATCTTCAAAGATGACATGCACTGACCAAGAAAGTGGAAACAGATAAACAAATGGAACTATCTTAAACTAAGAAGCTTCTGTACCTCAAAAGAAACAGTGATCAGAATACAACGACAATATACAGAATGAGAAAGGATATTCACCCAATACCCATCAGATAAGGGATTGATAACAAGGATATACAAGGCACTGGTTGAACTCTACAAGAAGAAAACATTCAACCCCATCAGAAAATGGAGCAATGAAATGAATAGAAACTTTCTCAAAGAAGAAATTTGAATGGCCAAAAGGCACATGGAAAGGAAAAAATGCTCTTCATCATTAATCATCAGGAAGATGCAGATCAAAACAACAATGAAATATCATCTCACACCACAGAAACTGGCCCACATCCAAAAGAACAAAAGCAACCAGTGTTGGCCTGGATGTGGGGAGAAAGGAACTCTTCTTCACTACTGGTAGGAATGCTGACTGGTTCAGCCCTTTTTGACAGTATGGATACTTCTAAAAAAATTTAGAAATAGAGCTCCCATGTGACCCAGCAATACCATTTCTGGGAATATATCCGAGAGATGCAAAAAAATATAGCAGAAATGACATCTGCACTTGTATGGTCATTGCAGCACTGTTTACATAGCCAGAATCTGGAAAAAAACTGAGTTCCCGAGAACAGATGACTGGTTAAAGAAATTTTGGTACATCTACACAGTGCAGTACTATGTAGCTGTTAGAAAAGATGAAGTCATGAAATTTACAAACAAGTGGTACTACATGGAAAGTATCATGCTAAGCGAAATGAGTCAGAAAGAGAAGGACAGACATAGAAAGACTGCATGCATCTAGAGAACATAAAGTAACAAAACAGGAGACTAACACCCAAGAATAGCCGAGAAAAGTACCAGGAGGTTCACTCCATGGCTTGGAGGCCAGCCGCACACGCTACGGGAAAAGGCAGCTCAGATAGAGAAGGTAGCACCAAGTAAAGGATGTTGGGAGGATCCTCCTAGGATGGGAGATGCATGCTGAAAGTAGACTATAGACCGAACATGATTGCCACTCAATGCCTCTTTTGCAAACCACAGCACCCAAAAGGAGAGAGAGAGAACAAAAGGGAATGCCCTGCCACAGAGGCAGGGTGGAATGGAGGGGTGGGGGGGTGGGAGGGATACCGGAATCAGTGGTGGTGGAAAATGGGCACCGGTGGAGGGTTGGGTACTCAAACATTGTATAATTGAAACCCAAGCACAAAAATTTGTAAGTCTACAACAGTACCTCATGGTGTTTCACTAATAAAAATTTTTTAAAAAAAGAATATATTATACATCTACACAGTGGAATACTATGCAGCTTTTAGAAAAGATGAAGTCATGAAATTTGCATATAACTTGATCAGCTGGAAAGTATCATATTAAGTGTAATGAGTCAGAAATAGAGGGACAGACATAGAAAGACTGTACTCATTTGTGGAATATAAAATAATAGAATGGGAGACTAACAACCAGGAATAGTAGAGATAAGTACCAGGAAGTTTGCTCTAGGGCTTAGAAACTGGCCTGATATGTTGGGGGGAAAGGCAGCTCAGATAGAGAAGGGACCACCAAGTAAATGGTGTTTAGAGGGCCCTTTCAGGATCGAAGATGCATGCCGAAAGTAGACTATAGACCAGACATGATGGCCATTCAATACTTGCATTGCAGACCACAACACCCTAAAGGAGAGAGCGAGTAAAAGGAATGTGCCTGCCACTAGAGGTGGGGGTGGGGAGCACGATGGGGAGGGGGGGATGGGCGGGATACTGGGAACATTGGTGGTGGAGAGAGGGCACTGGTGGAGGAATGGGTACTCGATCATTGTATGACTGATACATAAGCATGAAAGTTTATAAGTCTGTAACTGTACATCATGGTGATTCACTAAAAAATGAAAAATTAAAAAAAAACTGGAGTACTATGTAGCAGTTAGAAAAAAATGAAGTCATGAAATTTACATACAAGTGGTACTACATGAAGAATATCATGCTAAGCGAAATGAGTCAGAAAGAGAGGGACAGACATAGAAAGATAGCATTCATCTGGATAACATGAAGTAACAAAATAAGAGACTAACACCCAAGAGCAGCTGTGATAAATACGAGGTTGTTCACTCCATGGCTTAGAAGCCAGCCGCACACTGTAGGGGCAAAGGCAGCTCAGATAGAGAAGGGAACACCAAATAAAGGATGCTGTAAAGATCCGCCCAGGATGGGAGATGCATGCTGAAAGTAGTTTATAGACAGAACATGATTGCCACCCAATGTCTCTTCTGCAGACCACAGCAGTCAAAAGGAGAGATAGAGCAAAAGGGAGTGCCCTGCCACAGAGACAGGGTGGGATGGGGGATGGGAGGGGTGGGAGCAATACTGGGATCATTGGTGGTGGAGAATGGGCACTGGTGGAGGGATGGGTACTCGATCATTGTATAACTGAAACCCAAGCACAATAACTTGTAAGTCTGCAACTGTACCTCATGGTGTTTCACTAATAAAAAAATTTAAAAAAATAGAAATAAAAAAACTCCCAATGCCAAAACATTAGATCAACTATGGCATATTCATACACTACCCTGGAAATGCAAATTACACTTACTAGCAGTAAAACGGAACCAACTTTTGTTGTTACACACAAGTTGGAAAGATCTTAAGGATATCACAGTGGTGAGAAAAGAGCCAAGATCAAAAACTTAAGATAAAATGTATATAAATTTATCAAATAATAAAATTAGGCAAAAAATATTCATAACTGATAACTGTCAGGAGTGATAGCAGAGGGAAAGTAGGTGTGACTTTCTAGGGGAAGCAGGAAGGATTTGTAGAACAGCTTTTTCTTTTCCAGTTTTTGAATCACGCCTGGTGGTGTTGAGGGAACTCTACATATATTTTGTACCAATGCAAATTTCCCTTTTTATATAGCACTATGGCTATATAAAAAATTAACTATTGGGGAATAAGAAAATGATGAGACTTCTCTATACTATCTTTGTAAATTTGAGTGAGTGTATGTGTCCTTAAAATAAAAAGTGAAAAAGTCAAACAAATTGAAATTTTTACGTTGAACCACCACTGAAAATAGCATGCAGAATGTTTTAAAGAATTTCCCAAGTATACTAATTTTATCATGTAAAATTCCTTACCCACAGTTTATACCTATCTAATTAAAGTGGCTGACCTCTCTCCTTCAAATGTGATTTTAGTGCCTAAATTGAAAATCAGGAAGTTTGTTGCTTAATCTTGTAGAATAAAGCCCCAAAAGACGACTTGATTTCCCTATGGCGACTATTGATTATTCAGATGCCAAAGATCAGCTAAGAGTCCAGTTTTGCTACATTTTATTTCACTGCTCTTTGAAATAAATACATTTTGTTTTCATAGGGTAGTTTAATACTTTGTGTGTCTTTATATATCAAGCAACTATACTAGAAAGACTTAGTTAAATATATTTGAAGCAATTCACTATTCCCATTTTTACAACACTCCTAGTCAACAAGTATCATAGGACCCAGATATACTAATAAGAACACCATTAATTACCATTCATTCACTCACTAAAGGGGGTGAAAGGTGTCTTTAAAGAACTAATCATGGTAAGAGGAAAACATACCGTTGTAATTTTACAGGCGATTTTGTCTTTTCAAGTGTTCCTACTTGTTTTTCCTCCTGAGGATCTTTTACTGAGATTCTGTGACTAAAAAAGAAAACAAAGTAGTAACTTTATTAAGTACTTTATGTCAATGCAAATGTTGTGTTCCTGAAACAGAGAATAAATTCTATCCTCATCTGAAGCCTCAGATGTCCTTTTGTCTTCTTTTAATTTCTTTTGTTGAATCAACATGATTATAAAATTATAAAGTCATTCATGATTAAGTTTCAAACACATACTATTCCAACACTAATCCCACTTGTTTTATATTATGAAGAACCATACTGCTTACCATACCTTTATTCCAAGAATTTCACAGGCTGCTATTAGTGTGTAAACCCTTCACTCTGTGCCTTCTGCTCTCCGTGTTTTCTTATATTGCCCCAGATTAAATTTGTCTATTTACTTCTAGTCCCGACCCAACACTGCAACCGGACCTTAAGAGGTTTTTTGCACAAACTGTTTTTTTCATAAAATAGTTAACTAAATTCATCACAAAAAAGAATTAAAGACTCACCACCCAATGTATGTAGGGTGACCTATCCACTTGCCATTAACTTTATTTCAAATACTCAAAAAGATCAGACAACTCCAAATTGGTGTCTTATCTTTCCATGGGACACCTCCTCTGTCAGATCTCTGCATTTGTTTCCAACACACATACACAAAAGCTGTAATTCTTAGGGTCCCTGCAGTTGAGGTTCCCCCAGTGAACCAGATATAATCCAACCAGGTGACAAAATGACGTTGAAACTTGTAAATCTACTAAACTTGTAAGTACTTTAGGCACTTCTGCTGGCCTCAACATTAAATTGCCATTGGCTCTTAATTTTCACACTGGCACTCAATTCCCAAAGATTTTAAATAGAATTTATTTTGCAGATTTCAGGTATTCATCAAACTTGGGTCTACTTCAATTAAGGCTCTTAACATTTTTGAAGCTCTAGTATTTTTATAGTATTTACTTAACATTCTGTTAATAGAGAAGACTAGTGTCCATGAGAGCTTTTCTAATTGACACCACATAATTCCAAACATTCTCAATTCTCCCTGCACTTAATCATGTTCCCACAGTTACATTTATATTTCCCACATCATTTCTCCATAAGCTCTTTGCTCGGACTCACCAACTACATGACAGTAAACTGTGTTTTTTCTTTTTTTTTTTTCATGGTGCCCTACACACAAAAAATCTTGTTGATTGACAAGTCTGTTTGAAATACGGAAATCAACTTATACCATGCAGGCTGGTATAACTATATAGTCTACACTTCTTTGTTATGAAATATGTTATATGAAGAATTACACAAGAACTTGGTTATTGTGTATCAGAACATGCATCACGAAAAATATCTACATACTCTTTGAAATCCACTGTGGCCTTCCAGTCTAAACTTGGTTCTAATCTCTTAGCCAGTTGAGTCTTCATTATATTCATTTGGTTTTTTTCCTGTGAATTCTGGGACTCAGCAGTAACTTCTTTAGCAGCATCGGCATTTTCTTCTGCTTTGGGGGCCTCAAGAGCTTTCAGTTCCTTCTGTCCTTCAAGGAATTTAATCCCCTTTATAAAAAGAGTAGTAATTTTTATAATGATATCACTTCATCTCCTAGTTCTTTTTGGAAAAAATAACACTGGTGATAAAATCAGAAAAGTCTCAGATGCATCTAATTTGTCTTGCTTAGTAACTTCAGGATGGAGGCCTCTCATGGATATATAAATGAATAAATATAAATATTTACATATTTATATTATAATATAATATTTTATATATTAAGTATGTTCTAATATAATACTATTTATATTTATAAACAGTTATAAATATGGATAAATATAGAGCTCACTCCTCCTTCATGGCTAGGGAATAAAATTGAGGACACATTTTTCTTTCTTTCTGGGTCTCACCCGGTGATGCTCAGGGATTACTCCTGGCTCTTCACTCAGGAATTACTCCTGGCGGTGCTGGGAGACCATATGGGATGCCGGGGATTGAACCTGGGTCGGCCACATGCAAGGCAAACGCCCTACCCGTTGTGCTATTGCTACAGCCTGAGGACATATTATTGAAGCTCCTGACACCAGAGATAAAGAGAACACCAAACGTTCCAAGAGATTATTTATTACAGAGAAAATAATGTAACCATTGAAAAAGACTTCTTATTCCCCAAACAATGCAAATCAGAAGAAAACTGAGTGACATCTTTACTAGGAAAAAAAAGTCCAAAAAACAAAAATCTGTTGACCAAAAGTTCTACATTAATACTTTCAAAACTTAAGATAATATAGAATAAAAAATGTACAAAAAATTGAGAGAATTAATGGACTGTGGGCTGGAGTGATAGCACAGCGGTAGGGCATTTGCCTTGCGCGCAGCTGGCTCACCAGAGGCAGGTTCGATTCCTCTGCCCCTCTCAGAGAGCCCGGCAAGCTACTGAGACTATGTCACCTGTGCGGCAAAGCCTGGCAAGCTACCCGTGACGTATTCAATATGCCAAACACAGTAACAACAAGTCTCACGATGGAGACGTTACTGGGCCCACTCGAGCAAATTGATGGTTAAAGATACATTTGAAAAAAATAATAATGAAGTTCTTTAAGTAAGGAAGAATATCTTACTGAAGAGAAAAATGGATCTACACAAATAAATAAAACTTTTTAAAAGGTAGAGGGGTCCAAGCAATTGTACAACAAGAAGGTCCCTTTCTTGCATGCAGTCATCCCAGGTTGAATCCTAGGCATCCCACAACATCCCCTAAGCACTTCTGGGAGTGATTCCTTAGTGCAGAGCCAAGAGTAACCCCTGAACACTGCCCGGTATGATCCCAAAACTACAAAAAAAATTTTTAAGTATAAACATAAAATATAAAAGATGTGTAATTTTAACCATTTCAAAATACTATTCACTATCTAAAGCAAAAATAGTAACTATGAGGCAGAGAGATTATTGTTTTTATGTAATATCGTCTCTTTACATCAGGTGCAGTGTTTGCCTGGTGAGTAGTCAAACAGGTTTGATTCCTGGCATCACATATGGTTTCAAAGAACTGCCCAGGGTGATTTGTGACATCAGAGCTTGGGAAGAAATGACATGGCAATAAGTTAAATCCTGGGCACCGCTTGGTCCCCCAAACGGTAACCAGGCTTGATCATCAGCACTTTGCCAGGCATGAACAATAAGCACTTGCATAGGTCAATCCTCCCTTCTCTGGGCTCTTAGTACTTCTTGGGAGGCCCAAAGTAATGACAATATGAATGAAATAAGTAAATTGGGTGAGTAAAAGGAAAATGTGACTGTGCTCTAAAAGAAAGCATTTTATATACAGCCTTAAATACTACCCCCCATGGAGAAAATATTACATAAAAACAATAATCCAAAAAATGGAGGAGAGGAAGGAAGAATAGGAGAGGAAGGTGGAGGAGAGGAGATAGACGAGGAAGAGCAGGGAAAGAAGAAGGAAGAGGCAAAAGAAGATGAGCAGGAGGCAGAGAATCATCTGGGAAGGGAGGGCGCATCTGACAGAGCTCAGGGAATACTTCTGGCTCTGTGCTCAGGGATCATTACTGACAGTGCTTGAGGGATCATATATAATACTGGGAATCAGGTTAGGGTTACTGCATGCAAGGCATGCCTCAGTCCACTTAGCACAAATGCCCTATACTCTCTCTGACCTAAGCATGATTAATTTTTTTTGCTCTATTTTTTTAAATTTTATTAGTGAAATACCATGAAGTACAGTTGTAGACTTACAACCAGCATGATTAATTTTGAAAAAGACTGAAGTCATTTCTTTTTTTCACAAAGGTAATTAAGTTGTACAATTTAGAAAAGGTAATTAGAAAAGCAAACTCTCAAATCTATAGTATAAGATGCCACCTTAAGGAGACAGAATAAAAGATAAATACAAATTCAAATCTATTAAAAAATAAACACATCTCTAAATTGACAAGAACTATGGCAGGTAAGCCTCATAGTTTTGCTTGAAGATTAAAATAACGTATAAACCATCTTCTTTCAAAAAAGAACCATGGTTATCTTCAAAGAGGTCACACCACTGGCCAAGTGAGTGAAAACAGAGATAGATAAATGGGACTATCTTAAACTAAAAAGCTTCTGCACCTCAAAAGAAACAGTGGCCAAAATACAAAGACAGTCTACAGAATGGGAAAGGATATTCACCAAATACACATCTGACAAGGGGTTGATATCCAGGATATACAAAATACTGGTTAAACTCCACAAGAAGAAAACATCCAACCCCATCCAAAAATGGGGCAATGAAATGAACAGAAACTTTCTCAAAGAAGAAATCCGAATGGCAAAAAAGCACATGAGAAAATGCTCTACATCATTAATCATCAGGGAGATGCAGATCAAAACCACAATGAGATACCATCTCACACCTCAGAGACTGGCCCACATTCAAAAGAACAAAAGCAACCGATGCTGGCGTGGATGTGGCGAGAAAGGGACACTCCTTCACTGTTGGTGGGAATGTCCACTGGTTCAGCCCTTCTGGAAAACAGTATGGACGATTCTCAAAAAATTAGAAATTGAGCTCCCATTTGACCCAGCAATACCACTCCTGGGAATATATCCCAGAGAGGCAAAAATGTATAGTCGAAGTGACATCTGCACTTGTTTGTTCATTGCAGCACTCTTTACAATAGCCAGAAACTGGAAGAAACCTGAATGCCCAAGAACAGATGACTGGTTAAAGAAACTTTGGTACATCTACACAATGGAGTACTATGTAGCTCTTAGAAAAGATGAAGTCATGAAATTTACATACAAGTGGTACAATATGGAAAGTATCATGCTAAGCGAAATGAGTCAGAAAGAGAGGGATAGACATAAAAAGATTGCATTCATCTGGGGGATATAAAGTAACAAAGTATGAGATTAATACCCAAGAATAGCTGAGATCAGCACCAGGAGGATTACTCCATAACTTAGAGGCCAGCCGGGTATCCTAGAGGAAAGGGCTGTTCAGATAGAGAAGGGAGCACCAAATAAAGGATGTTTGGAGGATCCTCCCAGGAGGGGAGATGCATGTCGAAAGTAGACTATGGACTGAACATGTTTGCCACTCAATGCCTCTTTTGCAGACCACAACACCCAAAAGGAGAGAGAGAACACAGGGGATTGCCCTGCCACAGAGACAGGGGGGATGGAGGGATGGGGGTGGGAGGGATATTATCCATGGTGGTGGAAAATGGGCACTGGTGGAGGGATGGGTATCTGATCATTGTATAATTGAAACCAAAGCACAAAAAATTGTAAATCTACAACTTTAAAAAAAATAAAATAAAATAAAGGGGAAAAAATACAAAGACAGTACATAATGGGAAAGGATATTCACCGAATACCCATCTAACAAGGGGTTGATATCAAGGACATACAAAGTACTGGTTGAACTCCATAAGAAGAAAACATCCAACTCCATAAAAAATGAAGTGACAAAATGAAAAGAAACTTTCTCAAAGAAGAAATCTGAATGGCTAAAAGGCACATGAGAAAATTCTCTACATCATTAATCATCAGGGAAATGCAGATCAAAACAACAATGAGATATCATTTCACACCACAGAGACTGGCCCACATCCAAAAGAACAAAAGGCAACCGGTGCTGGCACGGATGTAGCGAGAAAGGGACCCTCCTTCACTGCTGGTGGGAATGCCGACTGGTTCAGCCCTTCTGGAAAACAGTATGGACGATTCTCAAAAAATTAGAAATAGAGCTCCCATTTGACACAGCAATACCACTCCTGGGAATTTTATCCAAGAGAGGCAAAAAAAAGTATAGTCGAAGTGACATCTGCACTTGTTTGTTCATTACAGCATTGTTTGTACAATAGCCAGAATCTGGAAAAACCCTGAGTGCCTGAGAACAGATGACTGGTTAAAGAAACTTTGGTACATCTACACAATGGAGTACTATGTAGCTGTTAGAAAAGATGAAGTCATGAAATTTACATACAAGTGGTACTACATGGAAAGCATCATGTTAAGCGAAATGAGTCAGAAAGAGAGGGATAGACATAGAAAGATTGCATTCATCTGGGGAACATAAAGTAACAAAATAAGAGACTAGCACCCAAGAGTGGCTGAGATTAGTACCAGGAGTTTTGCTCCATGGCTTGGAGGCCAGCCACACATTCTAGGGGAAAAGGGAGCTCAGATAGAGAAAGGAGCACCAAATAAAGGCTGTTGGGAGGATCCTCCCAGAATGGGAGAAGCATGAGAAAGTAGACTATCGACCAAACATGATTGCCACTCAATGCCTCTTTTGCAAACCACAACACTCAAAATGAGAGAGAGAACAAAAGGGAACACCCTGCCACTAGAGGCAGGGTGGGATGGGGGTATGGGGTTGGGAGGGATACTGGGACCCGTGGTGGTGGAAAATGGGCACTGGTGGAGGGATGGGTGTTTGATCATTGTACAATTGAAACCAAGAACAAAAATGTGTAAATCTACAACTGTACCTCATGGTGTTTCGCTATGAAAAATTTAAAAAAATGTAAATGATGAAAAATGGGCACTGGTGGAGGGATGGGTACTGGATCATTACATAACTGAAACCCAAGCACAAAAATTTGTAAGTCTTCAACTGTACCTCATGGTGTTTCATTAATAGAAATTTTATTTTTTTTTTTATTTTATTTTTTTTTTTACTTTTTTTTTTCCCCCTTTATTTTATTTTATTTTTTTTAAAGTTGTAGATTTACAATTTTTTGTGCTTTGGTTTCAATTATACAATGATCAGATACCCATCCCTCCACCAGTGCCCATTTTCCACCAACATGGATAATATCCCTCCCACCCCCATGGTAGAAATAAGGAAGTGGGAGGCTGTCTTTGATCTTAGTATCATTTTGCTCCAAGTGATGTTCATCACTGTTCATATCTGTTAAACACCAGATGAATGGTTTCCCTAAAAGTTCTTGTCTAAGAAATAAATCACTTTTTGATGGTTGAACATGAGAATTCTTTTGAGTAATGGGAAAATTTATAGTTATGACTTCTTGTCCTATAGACTTCTTGTCCTATAGATGTTACTCACACGAACCACCAAAATTCCTACAAATACTAATATGACTATATAAAATTAACTGTATAACAAAATTTGGGTAAAAACTAAAAAAATACAAGTAAAAAAGCTCAAATTGCAAGAAGATTAATACTAAATTAACAAAAATAAGAAAAGTAAAAATCAATAAAATCAAGTTATCTCTTCAAGAAAACTGAGAAAATCATTAGGCCAAGTGAATTTTGTTTCTGTTTTTGGGCCACACCCAGTGGTGCTCAGGGGACCATATGGGGCGCTCCGAATTACATCCAAGTCAGCCATGTGCAAGGCAAATACCTCACCAGCTGTACCAGGTGAACTGTTATAAAACAAAATATCAGTGTCACTGACCAGTGACGCCAATGAATTCACAACAATGAATGAGAAAGAGAGCAATAGAAAGTTCTACTGACTGATATACAAAGGTTAATAACAGATTACTATGGACATGTTTATGCCAGAATCTTTTTTAACATCTTAGATGTAAAAGAAAATGCCTTTAAAGGCAACTAAAAATCTCCCACAAATAAACAGATAACCTTCATAGACCTGTAACTATCAAAATAAACTGAATTTGTTGTTTAAAAAATTTCAACATGAGAAACTGTTATTAATATTGTAAAATACAGACCCTTCCATTCCAAAAAAAATAGTGTGTGTGTGTGTTTTAATTTCAACAAAGAACACTATACGGCTTCACTGGTGAATTCTATACACACACACAGACAGACACAGAAACACAAACACACAGACACACATACACACACACACACACACACCACTAATCCTACACAAACTTTGGCACACAATAGAAAAGATAAAACCTCCTTACCTTTTCTAAAAGGCCTTTCTGATACCAACCAAAGGCATTAAAGAAAACTACATATTGACAACCTTATGATTGCAGATGTAAAATTTCTTAATGAAACTTTACAAATAAAATGGATAATATCTTCTGAGCAAAGAATATTTGTCCAAGAAACTAAAGGTGGCTTTTTCACTTAGAATCAACGCAATTCAACACGTTAACAAAAAACTGGAAATAAAGAGAGGCCAAGAGAGCTCAACAAGCTGGAATGTATATTTTGAATGCAGGAGGCCACTACTAGCTTCCCTGAGCATCATCAGGATTCTCTAGCACCAGCCATGAGCATCTCTTGAGCACTTTCTGACTATGGTTCAAAAACCAAAAAGAAAAAGCTAATGATTACACCAATAAGCATGAAAATCTTATTTGATAAATCCCAGCATTTATTCATGATATAAATTAATAAGTTAGAATACGGAGGTGGGGCAGAGCAATACAACAAATGGGCAGCACTGTTTTATCGAACCTGACTGGGGTCAATTCCCAGCATCTCATATGGTCCCCCAAACACTCCCAGGAGTGCAGAGGCAGGAGTAACCCCTGAGCATCTCAAGGTGTGGCAGCCAAAACACCAAAGTGAAACCAAAAAACATACAGAATTTTTTTCAGCTGTTCAATTTTGTTCACTAAAAAGCTACCAAATAGGGCAGGAGCAATAGGAGAGCAGGTGGGGCATTTGCCTTGTACAAGGCCAACCTGGGTTTGATCTTCAGCATCCCCTATGAACCACCCCCAGTCCCCAGCACCACCAGGAGTAAATATGGAGTATAGAGCCAGAAGGAACCCCTGAGCATCACCAGGAATGGCCCCCAAACCAAAAAAATGTATATTTAAAAAACCCTTACAATCAACATCAGATGAAAAAGAGACCAGTATTATTAAATTCTGCACTGGAAGTTTCAGTTAGTGAATTAAAGAATCCTCAGTGGAAACAACCTAAAATGTGGTTAATAGATCTGGGATCTAAAATGCTACAGGGTAAGAGGGAAATAATGGACTGATGATGGAGGAATCCTGGCAAGGCGTAGCAGCATAGCAAATCTAAAACAATAATATTTCCACTGTTCTAAAAACATGTATAAAGAACCAAAGTTTTAAATAAATGTGTTAAGGGACAATGGCTAAATTATATTTTAAAGATACATATAAAAATTTAAACTAACTATAGGCCCCAAATATAAAATGCTTAGACATATTTTATAAAATTTCTGTGCAATGAAAATTACAAAACATTGCTGAAATAAAAATCTAAACTCAGTCATTAGTGGCAGTCATAGAACATACAATGGAAGTTCAAAAGACTTACCTGTCTGGACAAATTTTCTAAAAATATTGGTGATTTTTCTTTCAAAAATGTGACAAGGTCTTTATAAATTTCACCTCTTCTCTCATAATCAATCTCCCCCTCATCATCTGTTATGCCCTTTGAGAGAAAAAGTTTGGTGTCACGAAGAGAGCAGTAACAATATAAGAATCTAATGAATACATCACAACTCAAGAGGGTGGATTATTTTCTCTAAATCAGAGCTGCTTACACTTTTTCTACTTATGGTATCTTTCTTCCTTAGGAAAAAAATGCTATTATATTTTAGGTAATAGTGTTTAGGTTTAAAGCATTGGAGTATAAAATTACTACACACCACCACTAAAATGCACATGTCCCTATACCCTGCACCTTACCCCCAAGACATTTTTATAAAACCCAGACATACAGGTAGATAAAAGATACACAAATGAATTTACTTAGAATAAGTCATAAAAAGGCCTGGAGCGATAGCACAGCGGGTAGGGCATTTGCCTTGCACGTGGACGACCTGGCTGACCTGAGTTCGATTCCTCTGTCCCTCTCAGAGAGCCTGGCAAGCTACCAAGAGTATCTCCCCCGCACGGCAAAGCCTGCCAAGCTACCTGTGATGTATTCAATATGCCAAACACAAGTAATAACAAGTCTCACAATGTTACTGGGCCCACTTGAGAAAATCAATGAACAACAGGAAGACAGTGACAGTGACATGTCATAAAAAATCTTATTTTAAGTTTCATGACAATAAACTATAAGAAGCTAGGTTCTAAAGGATCTTTAGACATGAAATAGATAAGCCAACCCCTTCCCTCTTAACTTAATGTTATCCAGTTACTCATTTACTCATTATTCATTCCACAAGCCTTCCCAGTATGTAGGAGCTACTCCTACATTTCATGCCACTGCTCAGGAGAGAAATAAGCATGACATTCCCTTTGAACACCACTAAATATGAAAATGCAATGGCTTCAAAATCCTTAGATAAGCGCATAGAAAAACCTCAGAAATAGAATGTCACCACCCAAAAATCCCACTCCTGTTTGCCACACTTTTATTTTGTATGTAAAACTATTGCAAAAGGCTTATTTTCAAGCCTTATGACCTGTGGTCTCTGTCAAATCTGTCCCCACACACTGTTCCTCTATCCTCTCTGTTTGTCTCTTTCTTCTCTTCATATGCCTTCCTTTTCCTAGCCCTATTACCTTTAACCACCCCAGGGATCTATCTACAGATGACTGAATGTGTCAATCCCATAATTAGTGTATAACAAGTGTGATATATAAAGTATGAAGATATATGGGTGTACACATATACAGAGACATATATGCAGAGGGAAAGATCATTAATGTGTTACATTGTATTTTACGTACAGAATAGTTTTTTAAATTTTTACTAGTGAGACACCATGAGGTACAGTTGTAGGCTTAAAAATTTTGTGCTTGGGTTTCAATTATACAATGATCAAACACGCATCCCTCCACCAGTGCCGATTTCCCACCACCACGGATCCCAGTATCCACCCCCCCCCCATCTCCCCCATCTCACCCTGCCTCTGTGGCAGGGCATTCCCCTCTGTTGTCTCTCTCCTTTTGGGTGTTGTGGTTTGCAAAATAGGCATTGAGTGGCAATCATGTTTGGGCTATAGTCTACTTTCAGCATGCTTCTCCCATCCTGGGAGGATCCTCCCAACACCCTTTATTTGGTGCTCCCTTCTCTATCTGAGCTGCCTTTTCCCCTAGCATGTGTGTCTGGCCTCCAAGCCATGGAGCAAAATTCCTGGTACTATCTCGGCCATTCTTGGGTGTTAGTCTCTTATTTTGTTACTTTATGTTCCCCAGATGAATGCAATTTTTCTATGTCTATCCCTCTCTTTCTGACTCATTTCACTTAACCTGATACTTTCCATGTAGTACCACTTGTATGTAAATTTCATGACTTCATCTTTTCTAACAGCTACATAGTACTCCATTGTGTAGATGTACCAAAGTTTCTTTAACCAGTCGTCCTACTGAATAGTTTTGTGCTCCTCCACTTTCAAGTCTTTAACTGAGGGGAGTATTTATTTTTTTATTTGTCTTGTTTGGGGGCCATACATGTCCGAGACCAGGGCTTACTCCTGGCTCTGGGCTCAGAGATCACTCCTGGTGGGGTTTGGGGACCATATGTTTACTGGGAGACAGGTGTAGTACTTCTGTAGTATAGCTAAACCCAGATCACCTGTGTGCATAACAAGCATCTTATGTGTAGTACTACGTGAGAAGAGTATTTAAATGTTTTCATGTCCAATAAATTTAGATTTGGATTAACAGCATTTGATAGAAAGAGTGCCTTTTTGGTTTATTTTAGGAGATTAAAAATATAGTACAGAGGGTAGAGTACTTTTCTGACATGTGGCCAACTGGGGTTCAAAATGCTCGACATCCCATAGGATCCCCTGACCCAGGAATAAGCCCTGTGACCTAAAAACAAAATTTAAACAATAATTTCTCTTTTCAATCCCTTCAACCATGCCAGTTACCAGGGGCTGTGAGGAAGGAGGTATGGAGGATTAGCCCCACCGGAAACCTCCTCCCGGTTCTCAGAAATCAGCACTAACTGGGTGAAATCCACTCCTCAGAGCCCAGTTTTATGGAGTGCAGCCTACTATGCGTATTTCTCAGAGCCTTGGGTCCTAGTTTTGAAGGGCCTCGCCTCTGAGCTCCTGAAGGCCCATCACTAATGTGAACAAGGATCACTCTTCAAAGGTCTTTGAGAGTTCTAAGGACCGTCTTAAAATCTTTCACCCAATAGTACCAACTCAGCCTGACAAGTGCCATTGATAGTGCCCCTCTCCTTCTGTGCACAGAAGCTACACTTAGTCCTTTTGTATTATTTAGGGCGTTTTTTGGCTTTTGTTCTTAAAAGGGGGGTTACTATCTACAATACCCAGCCTAGTGGCATAGTCTTCTACTTTCATGTTAGAATCCAGTGATACAGGGCAGGTAAAACACTACCCCCATCCCAGTGGTGATGGGGACCATGTGATGATAGGGATAAAATTTAGGGTCTTGCACATACTGGGCATGTGTTATACCTTCCCTGTCCCTCAGTGCTCCTTTTTCATGTTTTCTTTCTTGTAATATTTGTGCAGGTAATCAGTGAATAGATTACTTGAAAAGATTTTTGTTTTGCAGAAGAGCAATGGGCCCTTTAAAGGCCATTTCCTAGAAGAAAGAGTTAATGGCCTGCAATAAGAAAAACTGGGGAGGGGTAATTATAAGGGAATTTGGGGATCTGTCTGAATACCATAGAGGAAAACATCTCCCAAGCCTATAGAGAGGCCTACATTTATAGCAACCAAGTTAAGTACCAAAATCAATGTTTGGGGTTTTTTTCCAAAAAAATTACTTACGCCATTGACAAATACTCCAGCTGAGCTACAAGTAACGCACAATTCTTCAAAATCATGTGGCTTCACAAAAACATAACAAATTTCCCCATGAATTTGTCTCCAAGGTGGGGCTCGACATCCATTAGAAAATTCATAATCTGAAACCAATTATCAATCAGTTTAAAAGAGCTTCTTAACCCAAAGTCTTATAAATATGTTAGTTTCCAAAAAAAAAAAGGATTAAATTTTAAGTTTTCATTTTCTTATTCAATTCTAATGTAGTTCTAGAAGAATTTTTTTTTTTGGTCACACCTAGAGATGCACAGTAGTTACTCCTGGCTCTGCACTCAGGAATTACTCCTGGCAGTGCTCGGGGGGCCATATGGGATGCTGGGAACCGAACCCAGGTTGGCCATGTGCAAGGCGAAATGCCCTACCCTCTGTGCTATTGCTCTAGCCCCAGCTCTAGAAGCATTTTAAAACATAACATATAACATAAAATGAATCCAAGAAAATATAAACCTGAGGTATATTTGATAGATTCTAAGATTGTTTGTTCTCCTTTTCCTGAGAAACGTTGGAGCAGCGCTATGTCATTCTTGACAGTCACTGGATTTAAGCGTATTTCTCTGAAATAAATGTTTACAGAGTTATTTTAAATATTGTCTAAACAAAATCTATAGAAAACACAAAAGTATTCCATTGCATCAGGGAGAATATCCTTTTTTTTGCAATTAAAGTTGCAATTACATTACACAACAAAATTTTAGTTAATTTCAATCATGCTCTAATTTTGTAACATATTTTAATAATCTTATAGCAACATAGGAGGCATTGACAATAATAAGGCCAATTAATATATTCAGAATTAGATGAAATCCAACTAAAACATTTTAGTCATGTTAACTGCTAATTGTAATCTTTAGAAGCATAAATATTCATATAATAAACTAAAATTTTGTTCTAATAAAATTTAATGTTAAATTAAGTATTAACACCCCATATTTTACTTTTCTTATTTTTTCTATTACTTAAAATTATGAACACGTTTTCCGCAACTATATTTTAGAGTCTTCTTATTTGCCTTATTTGTTGAGTAAAACATACTCACAATGAAATATGTTTTAGAGAATTATTAAGTAAGTGCTGGTCCAATTGACTAAGCAGTTTAGCAACCTTCATCTTAATCTCATGTTCAGGACCATCATCTTTGGTAATTTTATCCAGAAGATTTAATGCAGATGAGTCTCCTTTCATTGAATTGTAATCCACGCCCAGAATTTTTGATACAGGATTTCTATTAGCTAATCAAAGAAAAGTAAGTAAAGGTTATCTTCTTGTATGTTATTACAAAATCATAAAAGAATACATTTCAAACCCCACTAAAAGTGTTCATTTTACTAAGCTTTCTCTGATTGACCCATTTAGAACTGATCTTTTTGCAAATTTTATTATAATTAGGTACATTCTTCTTCCTATTGAGATGTTCTCCCTTGGAATACAGCTGTCATCTTCCTAGTAAGATAAAGATCAAGATATTCTTTTTGTTGTTGTTCTTACTGACTCTAGGTCACGGTTAAGAAAAGGCATGCAATCAATCTACTCATGATTGACTTGTATTTAAATACCGGACTACAAAGAATACAAGTCCCTAAACTTATTTCACCATTTTCAGGAAAATTTAACTCAGCATATGTCTCCTATCCTTCCCAGTACCCACCCTAAGTGAGCAACCAAAAGAGGTGCCCAATTGTAGAGATCACTACCAGCATCCTCCTGGGAGGTAGTATTGCCCACTTTGGGAAATACTACCTTAGAAGCATCTTTGTGAGAACACCACACATGTGAATGTGTCTGTGTATCTGTAAGAATACCAGAGCTCAGATTTCACAAATACTTTACTTCCAAATTAGCATGTTTTCTCAGACTATAGCTCTATTGCAAGTCTCTTCCATTTGTTGAGATGGCTTTGATTTCCAATGTTTATATTAGTTAGAAAAACAAATCCAACCAGTAATTTTACACCTATCAAAATGATAACCAAAAAAAGTTGAAGCCTAAGTCATGAGTAAAGCAGTCATCAATGCAAAAGTTGGTTCTACAAGTACTGAAAACAAACTTTGCTAAGCTGAAAAAAGAAAAAAAGATAGTAAGCCATATGGTTGAAAATGAAGGAGAAAGGAACAAATTCTTGTTTATAAAGGAAGAAGTTAAGTCATGATTAAAAAACAACATGTTAGGGGTCAGAGCAATAGTACAGGTGTGTACTGACACTTGTCATGCATGTGGTTGTACAGTTGACTCAGATTATTCGATCCCTGGCACCCCATAGAGTCCCCAAGACCCACCAAAAGAGATCCCTGAGTGCCAAGCCAGAATTAAGCTCTGAACACTTCCAGGTATGCCTCAAAATCAAGCCAAAACAAATCAAACACTGCCTTATTAGAGACTTCACCAAAGAATTCATACAGAAGGCCCATAGTCAAATGAAAAATTACCCAAATTACATTGCATTAGGAAAATGTAAATCCAAACCACAATTAGATTTCATTGCACACTAGTAAGTATAATCTACGTACAAAACATTGAAAGCAAGTGCTGCCAAGGAGGAGGACAGAAACTGGTACACTCTTGGTGGGAATGTAAATTGGTGAACTCTATATGGAAACAGTATAAAGATTTACTTGTAGCACTGTAGCACTGTCCTCCCGCTGTTCATCAATTTGCTCGAGTGGGCCCAGTAACGTCTCCATTTTGAGACTTGTTACTGTGTTTGGCATATTGAATACGTCATGGGTAGCTTGCCAGGCTTTGCCGCATGGGTGAGATACTCTCGTTAGCTTGCCCAGCTCTCTGAGAGGGGCAGAGGAATCAAACCTGGCTCAGCCAGGCTGGTCACCCACAAGGCAAATGCCCTACCACTGTGTGAAAATTACACATGACCCAGAAATACTATTACAAAGCATTAATTTGAATGATTTGAAATTCTACAAAATATTTGTGCCTTTTTATTCATAGAAATACTATTCACAATGGCCCAAATGTGGCATCAGTCTAAATGTTTATTAGCAGATGACTGGGTAAAAACTGTGAGATATATATAGAAAGGAAGAAAGAAAGAAAGAAAGAAAGATATAGATAGATACTATTTTACAATTTCAAAAGATTTCAAAAGCTAAAACTGTGCCCCATTACCAGGTGGTTTCATTTGTACATGAGATGTGAATTACTGAAGTAAACAAACTCCCATACTTGTTGAAAACTGTGATACTTATCACAGGAAATGGGAGTAGGAGGGAGAAATGAGGAGTGGGGTCTTTTTGGTGGTAGAATGGTACAGGAATTTTGGTGGTGGAAATGATGATAATGAGAGAGGTGTGAATACATAGGAGTGAAGCTAAATCCCTGTTTTATAATAACATTAAAAATAGAATTGTTTCAAGTTAAAAAAACGTACAATTATATCCTGTTATATGCTTTTCTCTCAAATATCGTTATCATTATCTCCAGTGTCCAAAGCTTATTTTACATAATCTAAATCTCAGGTAATTAACTATAACTTTCACTATCTTTGACAGCTGAGAGAGGGAATAAAGTAAAATTATTAATGCAATTGACCACTACATAGATGTATCTGGAGAGTTTCATAATGAATGAAGTTAGCTGAAGAGAGGGACAGATATGAATGATCTTGCTTATATGTGGTATGTAATGAAACATAGTAAGATAAAATGAAATTGCCAAAGACAACAACAGATCATAAGTACTGGTCTACAAAACTGAGCCTACCAAAGACAGGAGTAAAGGGATGCTTGGGTAGGAGAGACATTGATATAGTGGTTGAGGGAAAAAGACACTCTAGTGAGTGGTGTGGTGTTAGAACATTGCATGCATGAAACCCTATCATTAACAGTAACTGTAGATTATGGTACTTCAAATAAAAGTCTTAAAAACTTAATACCAGTTTCAATATTAATTCTTTTCTGCTACATTTTTTTTCTTTTTGGGTCATACCCAGCAATGCACAGGTGTTACTCCTGGCTCATGCACTCAGGAATTGCTCTTGGTGGTGCTAGGGGACAATATGGGATGCTGGGAATCGAACCCAGGTCGGCCACGTTACCGGCTGTGCTATGGTTCCAGCCCCTCTGTTACAGTTTCTTCATTTGATCTTCTAAGTTAGTGTGTTACATGGGTTTTGACATTTATGGCCAATGTGTACAGTTACCACTTCAACAAAGTGTCCAAGACCCCACTTATGTTAAGAATTCTTAAATAAGCAAAATGTTGCAAAGTATACATATTTAGCCAAACAAGATAGATATAAATTGTCACTGTCATTGTCCTCCCATTGTTCATCGATTTGTGTGAGCAGGCCCAGTAACACTGAGACTTATTACTGTATTTGGCATATCAAATATGTCACGGGTAGCTTGCCATGCTTTGCTGTGCAGACAAGATACTCTCGGTAGCTTGCCGGGCTCTCCAAGAGGGGCAGAGGAATCGAACTTGGGTTAGCCTGGTCAGCCACGTGCAAGGCAAATGCTCTACCTGCTTGTGCTATCACTCAAGCCCAGATACAAATTATGTATTAAATTATATAATGAAGTTAATGAAGAACTATGCCTCCTATTGCCTTTACTTGCCTTTTTGATTGTTTCACTGTCAAGATTTTATACCTCCTCAATAAAGTAGCTTTGATGCACAGATTGTCTGATAAGGAGAATCAGGCAAGAACTAAAAAAAAGGATAGGATCCTGGGGCCAAAGAGATAGTACAGAAGGTAGGATGCTTGCCTTGCACAGTGGTCAACTTGGGTTCGAACCCTAGCATTCCATATGGTCTCCCCTTAGTCAGCCAGGAGTTATTCCTGAGTGCACAGCCTGGAGTAAACCCTGACTGCAGCCAGGAGTAATCCAAAAACAACAACAACAAAAGGATGCTGTATTAGAGTATCCTTTCAATGGTTTTAAACTCTTTGAATGGTTAAAAAAATTCTGATCTCAAAGAGGCAAAGAATAATGAGAAAAAAAAAGAACAACCTAGGCAGCTTTGCACCTGGGGACCCACCATCCATGATTCCAGAGAGAAAAAATACCTATTCAACCACATGACCCTCATGATGGATATTTCTACTATTAAAAAACAATTATAGTAGGCAATCCATTACATTATTCTCTGCATATAAGATGATTAGACCATAATGAGAACATTCCATCCTCTTAATGAAGAAAAATATTTCCCCATTGCATAAAATATAACTATTCACAGAAGGCTATGGCATGTACAGTGCAGGACAGCTGAGAAAAATGGGAAGTGGAATTTTATGGACTGTCTCTCTGTTAAAGAGAGGGCCTGCATTAATTTAGAGGAAAAATACCATCATCTATCACAGCAGAGCATGAGTAGAGAATAGATTCCCATGCAGACCTGGGTAATCTCTTTTTCCTGATGTGAATCAAGATCACAAGCATTTTATCTTTTCAGAAGCTAAGTAGGTTTTAGAATGTTCCCAATGGCCTTTCATTTAAGGCAAAAAACTGACAGAACATTCCAATCAACAAAACTTAATGACACTGTAATGAAACTGAACATAAGACTTTTTTGCCTTTGAGGTTAGAGAATGTTTTCCAAGACGCTATAAAAAAGATTCACCCCCCCTCCCCCCCGCACATCTTTTGACAAGTTCAAAGCAGAGACTAGAGTATAAATATCACCTTCAACACAAGCCTGTGCTTCCACCAGCTTTGTATCTTTGGCAATAAATAAAAAGCGTGACAGCTGCCCAAAGCTCCAGATTTTAATTTGTGGTACCGAGAGGAAGAGCAAAGGCTGTCCATTGTTATCAACCTCTTCTGATTTGACTGTTGTTTCACTGAAAGATTAAAAAAAGAAATCTTAAGGTTACATGGATGCCAGCAGAAGCCAAATTCAAGAAAAAGTATTCCTAGATAACACTATAAAACACAGGATATAAATAACTCATTAGAATTTTGTCTACCCTCCCTTTCAATGACAATCAGTCCCCAAACCTTACAATAGTAAAAAACCATCAAATGCTATACGAAGAAAATTTTAAGTAGTTCCTTGAATTATCTACATGAATTCAATCACATTTTTCTCAACAATGTGTTGGAAAGCTCTTTTTCTTGGGGGTGGGGGGGTCACACCCAGCGATGAACAGGGATTACTCCTGGCTTTGCACTCAGGAATTACTTCTGGCAGTGCTTGGAGGGACCATATAGGATGCTGGGAATTGAACCTGGGTTGGCCGCATGCAAGGCAAATGCGCTATCCACTGTACTATTGCTCTAGCCCCTGTATTGGAAAACTCTTTAAAGAAACTCAGTGACTCTATTGAACCACCTGAAGTTTTGGAGATTTCTTATGTTTACTTTATTCAGACATTTTTATACAACAGTAATTAATGGTTGTAAGTTTTCTTGGCTGCTCTGCCTTTTGTTTGAGAGAGAGGGAGGGAGGGAGGAAGGGAAAAAAGAAGAGAGGGAGGGAGGGAGAGAGGGAGGTAAAAAAAAAAGAAACTGACCTCTATGGATTGTAATCACTCCAAAACACCTAAATTTGGTTTAATAATTCATTTTTCTAAATGGGCTTTTTCTGTCTACTTTAATTATTTTAGATCACCATTTTTAAATTTTTTAAAATTTACTTTAATGTAGATATAAGTCACAGTTGTTGATACAATTCTAGAGTTGAAATTGATTAGATAACAAAGCTCCAATATTAAAATCAGTGTCACTATTTAAAACTATCAATCGTTAGGGGGTATGGTACCGCCAGCAAGTCAATCTGTACCTGTGAGGAGAGTGCATCAGCCAGATGGCGCCTTCAGACTTCCAGATACCCCCAAATTGTTGCTGTGCCTTTGGCCAGGCCCCAAAAACTTGGTATGTGGGAGACACACCCACAAACCACCTCTGGCTCAGCAGTATAATTGGAAGCATGGCCTCTCTGGTTCCTGATCGAACTGCTTAACGGCCATGATCCCAGAGACTCAAAAACAAATCTCGAAACCCAACAGCTTTTGGCAAAAAAGCGTCTGGTCCCTGCAGTAGGTTATCAGCACCAGACCACCACAGGTGGGAATAGGTTTCATGCCTTGGCCTGTACCCCCTGGTGGCCTAGTGGCCGCCACCCTCCAGAGGCCACTGGACAGTCAGGTTTGGGCCCGCAGTGATGAGACACACAGGGCCTCATGGGATAGGGATGGATCTGGCCCTTTCCTCTCTGTCCCAACGAGATCCCGAGTAGCCACCCATGAATGGCCTCTCTGGCTCTGATCAAGCTGCTAAATGGCCGTGATCCCAGAGACTCAGGAACTTATCTCGGAACCCAGCAGGCTTTGGGAGAAATCCCTCCAGATTTAATTGTCAAAAATTTAGAATTTTTAAAATTGCACGGCTATTACTGCAGCCGCACAACAGCATATATTGTTCATAACCAGCAATAGAAAACAAATTGTCTACTGTTGCTTTTTTGACAGATCCAAGTGTTGGTGTAAAATCCCAAATAATAATGGTGGGTCAGGTGTCAAAATATTGAATGTAATCAAAGTGGAGAGAGTAATGTGGAAATCATCTGCCCCACAGGTAGGGGGAGGATGTGAGATGGGGGGTATACTGGGGTTTTTGGTGGTGGAGAATGGGCACTGGTGAAGGTATGAGTGTTTCATTGTATGACCAAGACTTAAACCCGAAAGCTTTGTAGCTGCTCTCACAGTGATTCAATAAATAAAATTATAAAAACATGAAAAAAGATAAATAAAAGAGTAAAGGTAAAGGTAAAGGTAAAGGCCCTCCCGTTGATCGTCGATTTGCTCGAGCGGGCCCAGTAACGTCTCCATTGGAGACTTTGTTGTTACTGTGTCTGGCATATCGAATACTCTCGGTAGCTTGCCGGGCTCTCCGAGAGGGGCGGAGGAATCGAACTCGGGTCGGCCATGTTGGCCGCTTGTAAGGCGAACGCCCTACCCGCTGTGCTATAATCTAGAAAAAAAAGATATCAATCGTTTTATGTGAAAATAGTATCTCATTCACAGGGTTGTTAAGTCCTTGTCTAAGAATGTATTAAGTTGTTTGTTGCTAGTTGAGCCTTCTGTGTTATTGTTTTTGTTTGATGAGCTTAGTTGGGTTCTATGTCACTTTGCCATCTAGTTTGGTGTGCTCCTACTTGAATTTCAGTATTTGGGAATTAGGAGGTGTCCAGAAACTTCAGAATCTATGATTAGACCACCATTTTTTAAATTAAAAATATTTTTATGTCTGTGATGTTCATATAGATTTATACCACTTGCAACAATAATTGCATTGCTTAATTTTTCATTGCATTTAGAAATCCCTGATAAAAATGCACTAATCTTAACACTCTCTTAACATATTCTAAATTTCAATGCATATAAACAATTGCAAAGTGTTGTCCATTCATTATAAAGGGTATTTGACAATTTAGACCTTCTACATTATTTTTTTTTAAAAAATCTCAGGGCTAGGATGAAGGAGACGTTACTGGGGCCTGCTTAAGGCAATCGACGAATAACAGGATGGTCGTGATCATGACATTATCCAGTCATACCACATGATGAAAAGAAAATAGAGGATAGAAACTTGGGAAGCAGAATAATAGCTCTCCCCAAAATGTCTGATGCATGCCTGTAGGATAACATTGGTTTGTCCTTTCCGCCTTGTCATAGGGAGCTCAGGTTTATTGGGTTACTTGCATCACTATGCTCTCATTCCTCTGTGTTTATTTGTAACTTCTGTCTTTTTGCTCTGTTGGTTGTAAATATGGTTTTTCTCTTCTCCTTAAGTCCTTTACATAGTTAATTCAGAGCAAAGTCCTTTTTGTATGGACACAAGAAGACAGTTAATGCTATGCTTTAGTAGCTTGGGAGTTAATTGACTCTGAATAATATTTACCTCCTGGATATTTGTTCGCTCAACTTAAGCTTCAGTTGCCTTTACTTACAAGCACCAAAATCAGGGTCCTGACGAGGGACTGGATGGACTCAGGACAAACTGTGAGCTATGTGCTACTCTGGCATAGAAATGGGTCTGGCCAAAGTGCCATAATGCTTAGCTATAAGTTAAGAGCGTTGGTCCCAAATAAAGGGTGTTGGGAGGATCCTCTTAGGATGGGATAAGCATACTGAAAGTAGACTATAGACCAAACATGATTGCCACTCAATGCCACTTTTGCAAACCCAAAAGGAGAGAGAACACAAAAGGGAATGCCCTGCCACAGAGGCAGGGTGGGATGGAGGGGATTGGGGGTGGGAGGGATACTGGAATCCGTGGTGGTGGAAAATGGGCACTGGTGGAGGGATGGGTATTTGATCATTGTATAATTGAAACCCAAGCACAAAAATTTGTAAGTCTACAACTGTACCTCATGGTGTTTCACTAATAAAAATTTTTAAAAAATGTTAAGAGCGTGGTCATGGACAAATACTGTTATGATCCAAAAAGCAATACTAGATTTGGACCCTGCTAGGGTTAGGAAAGATTAATCTGGCCTGAACACTGTAATCAGAGTCTGTGGAGAGATATTCCCAGGAGAGCCATCTTACAAACTCAATGTATCTCTTACTGTGTCCATACAAAATAACTAATATTAAGAAGTAGAATTAAGATGTTAGTTAAGTTATTGGACTAAGGAGAAGAGGAACATCTCTGAGTGGTGTTTCCCCTCATGGGCCATCAGGAAGGGATTTCTTATGTTGATTTTGCTACTGTACTGGGTATAGCTCCAGTGTTCTACCCCCAGGGCTAGGGAGTTGGGGAGAGATGACGAAGTTGGAGAGATGAGATACTGACCAGGGAAGCAAGATGGAGCATGGAGAAACTAGCAAGGGGGAGAGAGGGAGAAAAATGTAGAAGAAGAATACAATAGCAGGCACATAGAGAGAGAGAGAGAGAGAGAGAGAGGGAGAGAGAAGGAGAGAGAAAGGGGGAGAGAGAGAGAGAGAGAGAGAGAGATAGAGAGAGAGAGCCCAAGGTACGAGATGAAGCACAGAGAGATGAACAGGGGAGACAGGAGACGGGAACGAGGGGCAGTGTGAGACTAGAATGGGGGTCATAGAGAGACTGGAACAGGCATGTGGGGAGAATGGAATAAACAGCAACGAACCACCAACCAGGTTGGCCCTCGTTTCCTCCTCCGTCTGCTCATGACACGGGCCGTCCCAGCTGGGATAGCGGCCCAAGACCACAGAATGTGGGTGGCTAGAGGGAGAGCCATCAGGGCTCTTCGTAGTTGCCCTGGAGAGTATATATATACCTAATTTCTGAATTAGGGCTGGAGCGATAGCACAGCGGTAGGGCATTTGCCTTGCACTCAGCCAACATGGCCGACCCGAGTTCGATTCCTCCGCCCCTCTCGGAGAGCCCGGCAAGCTACCGAGAGTATCTCGCCCGCACGGCAGAGCCTGGCAAGCTCCCCATGACGTATTCGATATGCCAAACACAGTAACAACAAAGTCTCCAATGGAGACGTTACTGGGCCCGCTCGAGCAAATCAGTGATCAACGGGAGGGCCTAATTTCTGAAACCTGTTAATTTGTCACCCTCCTTGGGAAAAATAAACTTTCTGGGTGAATTAAGTTAGGGATCCTGAGATTGGAAGACTACTCTAGATAACTTAAGTAGGTTCAATGTAATCAAAGTGGTCCATAGAAGTCTGGAGAATCAAGTCAAAGGCATCAAGATGGTGGAAAAAGAAGTCAGAGTAAAAGAGACCTGAATAAATGAGTGTAGGTAACCTCTAGAAAGGGCAACAACAATTTTCTTTAGCATTGAGGGAACTCCCAATACCTTAATATCCCAATACCTTAATATTGTAAATTTGACCACATTATAATTATTGTTGTATCATGAAGCAATGTAATTTTAAAGCTGGGGCCAACTCCAGTGATCAATTCAGTCTTTTGTGGTACTGATGTGAAAACCTAAGGCCAGAAGGGTATGAATTATGGGTAAAGTGTTAATTTCCCAGATTTCCTGCCTTTTCATCCATGAAGACCTTTCACATCATATAATTTTGTCCCCACTAATATATATCACTGAATAATCAAAGAGCAAGATACACAATTAAAAAAACAATATTAAAGCAGATATGATTAAAAACCTCATAGTAATGCTAAAGAGAAAAACTGGTAATAAGTTACAAAATGACTCCAAGTATTTTTCTAATTTACATATTTCTTTTTTTTTGTTTTTTTTTTTATTAGTGAAACACCATGAGGTACAGTTGTAGATTTACAATTTTTTGTGCTTGGGTTTCGATTATACAATGATCAGATACCCATCCCTCCACCAGTGCCCATTTTCCACCACCATGGATAATATCCCCCCCACCCCCATCCCCCCATCCCCCCCTGCCTCTGTGGCAGGGCAATCCCCTGTGTTCTCTCTCTCCTTTTGGGTGTTGTGGTCTGCAAAAGAGGCATTGAGTGCAAACATGTTCAGTCCATAGTCTACTTTCAACATGCATCTCCCCTCCTGGGAGGATCCTCCAAACACCCTTTATTTGGTGCTCCCTTCTCTATCTGAGCTGCCCTTTCCTCTAGAATGCCCGGCTGGCCACTAAGCTATGGAGTAATCCACCTGGTGCTGATCTCAGCTATTCTTGGGTATTAATCTCCTGTTTTGTTACTTTATATCCCCCAGATAAATGGAATCTTTCTATGTCTATCCCTCTCTTTCTGACTCATTTCGCTTAGCATGATACTTTCCATGTTGTACCACTTGTATGTAAATTTCATGACCTCGTCCTTTCTAACAGCTACATAGTACTCCATTGTGTAGATGTACCAAAGTTTCTTTAACCAGTCGTCTGTTCTTGGGCATTCAGATTTCTTCCAGTTTCTGGCTATAATTTACATATTTCTTAAGCTATGTTTTCACTAAGAATAATAGTAATTGTTAAGAGGTCCCATATTAACTAAATAAAACTTGCCCTCTCTCTCTCTGCCATCCCCAATAAACTGATACATTTAAGTACTGAAGGTATTTTGTATTCTGTTCATATCAGAAGTCACAAAATCAACACCTACTGGTATGAGCATGCACACACACACACACACACACACACACACACACACACACAGGCACGTGGAGAGAGAGAGAGCCCAAGGTGAGAGATGGAGTTTTATACTCCAGGCATAATGCAACATCAAAAAATCAAATATTGGGAGTGAGGTGGTATAGAGAATGCACTCCTGACAAAACAAAATTAAAATTTCAATGTAAAATTTTAATAAATAATGCTGAACAAATAAGAGATCCTTAGGTGTCACCTGAATGTTTGCAGTTTACAATCCTTGGTTCAGAGGAGTTATGGGATTTGTACAAGTTAAATGAACTTGCTCAAAAATCTGCAACTAATCAATAAAATATGCACAATGAAGACACCCAATTGTGAAAGCAATCATCTGGCTTACCTGACAATATAGCCTGAATCAAATGCTGAAGTTTCTAGATTTGTTTTCCATTCAAGTGGTTCGACAAAAACATATTTTGCCTCTTGAGGATATTTGTAGATAAAACTCTCCACAAAAGTAACAATTTCTTTCAATATGGCTTCATTGAGAGGTGTATGTTTCAGGGATCCAGGACCATATCCAGCTGCAGTCCACTGAGCTGACCTGGTCAGTGCCACACCCATTGTAAGGCAGTTAACACTCAGATCTGAGCTCCCAGGTGCTACCTCTGAGAAGAAAGAATTTGAGATGACAGCAGCCACCTTTCACTGAACTGCTTTCATTTTCAAGAGTCTTAACATGCTGCCCAACATACATTCAGCTAATAATCACGGGCCCGTTCTTGAGTCATCGCATTGTTCTCCAAGTCAACAAACAGATTAACTTTTCCTCAACCCACTCTAGGCCAAACTGACTGGAACTTAAAGACTTTCATATATCTTCTTATCCTGAAATTGAATAACTACTTTTGCACTTTCCCCAGGGCCTAAGAAAGAGAACTGAAAGAATTGGGCGGAAATCAAAAGCAGAAATCTCCATGAGGGAAATAAAGAATTGGAGGCGGATGATATCCAGGTCTTTGGTTCACAGTTCTAAGAAGCCAGACAATGTTAGGAGAACAATACTCTGTTGGAATGGGCCACCCTTTATTTAAAATCATGCTGAATTCTCTTGTCTTGACCTTCATCAAACTGCATCAATGCAATGATGAATGACATGATTTCAAGAGCTCTGCCAACTTCTCATGTGCCCCTGAAGTAATAAATACAATCAACATTATTGCTAAATATAATTTTTTAAATAGTGTAGTATACATAGATCAGAATTTTAACTACCCAAATACGTCCATAATATCCTGCCCAGATAATTTATTGAAAAACACAATTTTTTTAAGAGCAAACAAGCTGTAAAAAAAAAATGTTCTAATGTTTATCTAATTGACTCTGAAAGAAACTGCCATTAAAATTTAAAACAGAAATTTAAATGAAGTGAATTTCATACTGGCTCAATCACTTTGTAAAAGCAGATATTTTTAGGAATTGGAGAGATAGTAGAATGGATAAGGAGTTTGCCTCACAAGGGTCAACCCAGGTTTGATCCCTGCCACCCCACAGGGTCCCAAGAGCCCTGCCAGATGCAATCCCTGAGTGAAAATTCAGGAGTAAGCACCGAGCACCACTGGGTGTGACCCAAAAACAAACCAAAAAAAATTAGACATTTAAAAAGTTGACAATTACCTGTAACATCAAAAAAGGAACAAAGTTAGGGGCTGGAGAGATAATACAATGTACCCATTGTATGGCCAACCCAGCATTTGGTCCCAAGAACCTTTAAGGTTCCCCAAGCCCTTCCAGGAGTGATCCCTGAGTTCAGACCAGTAGTAAGTTCCGAGAACTGTCAGGTGTGGCCCCAAAACAAAAAGAACAAAGTTAGAAAACAAATTCAGGTATTAATTCAAAATGGATATTTAAAGCTCTTTTTCCCCAAATTGTACTTGTAGTAACATTACAAGTTTATAATATTTATCATTTTAATAGCATTATTAAAAAAATTCCTTCTAAGGTAAAGGTAAAGGTAAAGGCCCTCCCGTTGATCGTCGATTTGCTCGAGCGGGCCCAGTAACGTCTCCATTGGAGACTTTGTTGTTACTGTGTCTGGCATATCGAATACTCTCGGTAGCTTGCCGGGCTCTCCGAGAGGGGCGGAGGAATCGAACTTGGGTCGGCCATGTTGGCCGCTTGTAAGGCGAACGCCCTACCGCTGTGCTATTGCTCCAGCCCAAATTCCTTCTAAAATTAAAATATAAAATTAGCTTTCTCACCTATCCCCATCATTTTTGCAAAAGCTCAGAAGTACCAAGAGCCTGTACAGAAATGATTCAGACTTTACTTTCTGAATTGTATTTCAATTAGAAATCTAAAAACTGGCATGTCTCATTCAATGTTTCTCAATGGGGTCTTCCTGGGACCACTGTAGAGTGGAAATATTCAGACATTCCATTAATGAAATAATAAGATATCACTAGCTATTAGATAAAGATCCAAGAATGAAAGCACCCTGCAATGTGCAAAGTAGCCCCCCTGAAAGAAGAATTATGCTATAATCTTCAGACAGAATTGAACAACTTCAGTTAAATAACATCTGAGAATAAAACCTCTCTCTAACAATCACAAGTATTCTTTTTAGTGCTTTAAAATACACTATGTTTTCCAGGATTACAAGAATTTTACCATCTTGGAAAGCATTAGCATTTTGGAAAAGCATACCACTGATTTCTATGCTATCCCACAATTTAGAGTGCATGGATTTTTGAAGTGGGGGGGGGGATTGTTTTTTGTATTTGTTTTTGTTTTTTGTTTTTAGAGTGCACATTTTATCTGCCTGCATTAGAAGCTACTGCATTCACAGAAATTCTATGATTACTGAGCCTCTCATTTTATATTATTGTGTGATGCTTTCTGAGCATTCACCTGCCAATATTTTATTACAATACTTTTTTTATTTTAAAGCTAATGTGCTACTGATAATTAACACTATGCATCTATGTGAATTATAACCTATGATTTTGTTTTTAGAGCAGTAAAGTAACCATTCCAAAATATTTGTTATAAATTACAAATGTTGAATCAGAGAGGACTAAGAATTGATACATATTCAAATATATGCAAGTACTCACATATAATTATCCTACTACTTGCAGGATTAAACTACCTGGTTTAGCAGGACAAGAAAAAAATTAAAACCTATCCCTTTCATAATTGTGCCTCAAATAAAAAAAATTCAAGCACATGGGAATCCGTTTAGCAAAAGACATAAAACACATATAAAGAAAACTATGTATCACTATATCACTGTCCTTGTTGTTCATCAATTTTCTCCTGCGAGCCCAGTAATGTTGCCCAGTAATATCTCCATCGTGAGACTTATTGTTACTGTGTTTGGCATATTGAACACATCATGGGTAGCTTGCCAGGCTTTGCCATGCAGGTGAGATATTCTTGGGAGCCTGTCAGGCTCTCCTACTAAAAGTAATAAGACACAGAAAATGGATACACATCCCAAGTTCATGAATGGGAAGGATTACTATTGTCAAAATGGGAATCCTACCCAAAACACTATGCAGATTCAATGCAGTCCTTATAAAAAAAAAAACCCAAAACATTTTTAAAAGTCATAAACCAAATGCTATTGAAATTTACATGGAATAACATCCCCCAGTTTGACCAGATAACCAAAGAAATCTTGGGTAAAAGATAGGAAGTTTCTCTTTCCTCAACATTCAATTATACTAAAAGCCATGTTAATCAAAAAAGTGTGTTACTAGAATAAAGATAGACTCTCATACCAATGACATATAATTGAGAGCTAAGATTTTTGCTATTGTGAAACTGACACACATCAGAAAAAACAAAAATGAGCAAACAATGATGCCATTGATGTGGGGAAAGGGACCCTCATGCACTATTGGTGAGAAAGTTGATTGGTCCATCCATTTTGGAAAACAATCTGGACAAGCTCAGAAATCTAAGAATTGAGATTCCATTTTTCCCAGCAATTCCACTTCTTGGCATCTGCCCCACAGGCCCAAAAGCTATTAAGAAATGACATTTACATTACGATGTTATTGCAGCACTAGCCAAAATCTGAAAACAACTCAAGAATCCAAGAACAGATGACTAGATAAAGAAACTATGGTTACATATACACAGTGGAATACTACTAGGTTGTAAGAAAAGATAAAACCATGTAAATTTCTCCTACATGGATCAATATGGAGAGTACCATGCTGAATGCAGCTGGAAAAAAGAGGAGCAGAAACAGAATGATCTCTCTCATATGTGCAATATAAAGAAGGGGAATAACAAATGCCCAAAGGAAACAGAAAACTGGTCTTTAGTAGGAAGCATAGCACAGATGAAAAGGGGATGACTGGGGACAATGGTGGAAGGAAGAGTCACTCCGGTCCAGAAGAGGGTGTGGTGCTAGAATGTGTTATGTGTGAAACCCTGTCAGTAACAATATTGAAAACCCCTGTGCCTAAAATAAAATTAAATGAAGAGCTCTAAAGAACTTTGATATATATGTGTTTGTGTATGTATATATATGTGTGTGTGTGTGTGTGTGTGTGTATATATATATATATATATATGCCAAACACAGTAACAAGAAGTCTCACAATGGAGACGTTACTGGGCCCGCTTGAATAAATCGATATATACATGATAAAATATTATATAAGGAAAAATTAGTTAATGCAATTTGCTCTTATGTCATGGATCTGGAGATTATCATGCTGAATGAAATCAGCCAGGAGAGGACAAATAACGATCTCTCTCAATGTTCATGTGGGACATAAAGAAATACGTGATGGTAAGAACAAATGGTCAAAGACAATGGAACCTGAACACTGATGAACCAAGCTTACCATGGTGGGGAGTGGGGTAAAGAGGTAGGGTATGGTCTTGGATGATTGTATCTTTAATAACAGTGTTGTAAATCACAGTGTCTACAATAAAAAGCAATGCCTAATTTTTCATTAAAGGCAGATTGTCGAACTGATACAGCAGGTAGGGCATTTACCTTGCACACGGCCCACCACCACTCAATTCCCAGTATCCCATATGGTCCCCTCAGCACCGCCACGAGTAATGGAGTAATTCCTGAGTGTAGAGCCAGGAGCAACCCTGGAACATGGCCAGTGTGACCCAAAAAGAAAAAAAAAAACACCAAAACTGCAGATTGTCTAGTAAAACTTTACATACCTTAAAACTAAATACATCTATTTATGCATGCACAAATGTGTGCTTGCTACTGAAAATAAAATGTTTTGTGCATTTTAGTATTCCAGTGTATTATTTTTGTTGCAAGATTCCAGACTCATAAGCTCATGCTGATGTTCACATATGTCACTCTTGAGCTCCCAAATTATGAGAACAGGTGCAAATAAAAATCAAGTACAAATAGTTTTAAATGAAAGGTCTATGTAGGTAGTTATTTTAGTATTAAATGAAGCACCTTCTATTCTTTGAAAGCTATGGTCTGTGTGTCCTTCCCTTCCTCCACATTTTCACAAAATTAGATAGAATCCGTAAGACTGTGGCAATCCGCACAGTACACAGTAATGTCCTTTAAAAAAAGTTAAGAAATGTAAAGAGTTCATTTCATATTTTTAAAAAAATTTGTG